ATTTTAGTTTAAATCCAATCAGGCAAATGGAAATTCGCTAAGTCTGCAGGTTTGCTGCGGCGGGGGTATTTTTATAATTTTTTTATGATTTGTTATGATACGACCGACAACAATAGGCTAAAACCTTGCCTAATAAATCAATCTATAAATAATTTCGATTGATACGATAGCCACAATAGAAATTTACAACTGCTTACAACAGCTTATTTTTACTCCCTAGGTACTAAAATGATTTTTACTCCCAAGAGAGTAAAAATACTACTTTAGACCCGAAACGCATGCATTAAAAACGGCTGTTTTATCTGCAGTATGACGAAATTTATATTTTCGTCCTTGTTCTTTGTTTATAAGATAGTTGATGAGGCTTAACAGATCCTATAGCTTACTTTGTGCCGCTATTTAATCTGTTATCAAATTAATCTTGAATAAACTGTTGGTATAATTAGCTTAACAAAGACTTAGTGCGTGGTTTATTTAAGTCCCTACTTTACTAAGTACTTGCTAAATATTACACTTTAAAATCTTACTTCTTATGACACGAATTAGCACAAACTCAGGATTTAAAATAGAGGTTGTGTGTACGTTGTGTTTTGTCACCGAAAAGTTTTGGGTAAGTTATATACCAGTTGGGATAATATTAATATTTTAATATACCTTTACGGTGCCGGTAATACACCGGATGTAAGCAAAAGTCTCCTCTGAAATATATTAGATCACCACAGTCATCATGTTCATTTTCTGAAATAAAATCACGGAAGTATTGAACTCGGAATAACTTTTCCGATTACTTTGCAATATTACGAAGCTCTCATAATCATCAAAGCTCGGCCCAAGCGGAACGCAAGAGTCAAATAGGGAAACTCTTTTGTTTGTCATGCAAATGTTTTCAGCAAAGTACTTAGAATTGCGAAAAACTGTATTATTCTCATGAAAGGAATTCTTTTCATATAGAAACGAATGGCAGTGTAAGATGGTTTTAGGAATATGTTTTAGGAAAGTAGATTTGAACTAGAACAAATTACATAATAATATATGAGAAAACCCTGCATGTCTTATAGGTGTAGAAAAAAGTCCAACATTGTATGGTCAGTGATAATTATGTCTTGAATATAGGGCTGTGGAAACAGTTTTATAACCAATTTGTAAATCTCAACCAGTCCTGGAAAACTTTTTTACAAGTACTTAATACTTCTATCGTGCATGCAAGTAGGAATGCATTGAAATTTTTATTACCAAACATTTTGTGTTTTTTTTCGTATAAATCTAAATTTATCTTCTTCATCTCTAAAAGGTTTGGGGAATAAACAATAATTTACACATAAAGTGATATTGTAGAAAATCTTGAAATAGGGCGTTTTGTTAACACTTGCAATATTCGAATTAAACTTATATCTTGAAGGTTTCAGCAATTTGAAAACACAATTTTGTTAATTTGTTTTGGTAGTTATTTCTTTTGCATCAGTGCTAACTACTATTGAATTAAACGGTAGTACAGTAAGTCATTTCCATAAAATAATACCTCACTGTGCGTAGTCAATGATAACGTTGTGAGGGGTGTTGGGGGTAGTGAGTAGTGGTGGGGGGGGGGGGGGGGGGTAGCGAGTAGGGGGCGCATCGCTGAGTAGTCCAGTGGACGGAAATGAACTTATTTCCTTTCATCACAGCAATGTCCCAGAGCTACTACGTTCACACGGAAAACTAGCTTTACCTTTTTCAATTTTGTGATATCAAATGAAAATTAAACAGTATAAATACAAATGCAGTTTTTCTGTACTTTGCTATTTTTACGTGTCATTGTCTCAGACTAGTCAAAAGAATTTTTATTTAGATTTTTCTATCTGTGTATCCTTTGGGTACAACCAATATTGGAAACTTATGCTGTAAACTCCAAGAAAGCTAGAGAAATAATCATAATTTAACTCTTTGCAGAATCTATATACCTTTCGGCAAACTTTTGCGTATTCAAACATAGTCTAAGTTATTCGTAAATAAAATAATTAACTTCCATAACCCAATTTAGCACGATACAGAACAGATCGTTTTGGCATTTACGTCCGATACCGATCAGCTGTTCAGAGAAAGTTTATTCCTGGAAACTGTCTCTAAAATACCTAAAATAACTGTTTTTAAAGTTGTTTGCAGCAAATGGATAATTGGTTTGACAATCATACTACCCTTTTATTTTTTCCCTAGCTTAAAGGATTTGAGTTTACAAGAAATGTGAAGTGTTCAATATTATTTCCGAATCATAGCGATATGACCTGCAATAATATGATTGTATAATTATATTTTCCTGTAAAGATAACAGAAACTCCAAAGGAGAAACTATTTCATCCTGTGTTATAATCCATTATTATGCTTGTGCAGATCAACTTGTATTTTAATTTTTTTTGTCATACTGCAGCAAAAACAACCGTTTTTAATGCATTCGTTCTGGGTATAAAGTAGCATTTTTACTTTTTAATCATGTTTAGCCACTAGGGAGTAAAAATCAGCTGTTGTATACAGTTGTAAATTTTGATTGTGGCAATCGTACCGATCGAAATTATTTATCGATTGATTTCTTAGGTAAGGTTTGAATTGTTGTCGATCGATCGACATATCGATAGTATAATGTACTGTAACACAATCGTAATAGACGAATTGATTGAATCGCTTACTAAACAGCTGCTTATTTGCATTACCGTAGCAGAATTGAAAACTAGCTGGGTGTTGTTTTGAGAGGTTATCTTTACATACAATTTACAGTATTTAGTTTTCTAGCTTAGTTTGTTAATTAATTATGCAATATGACGAAAAAATATCGTTCACCACACGGGTAAAAAGTGTCTTTTTAACACTCGCTTGGCATTGGATCAAAAAGAGTCACTTTAGGCCCTAGTGATTAAAATACAATTGAATGAAACTAATAACACAGGTATATACTTTTAAGTGTATAAGTACATGGGATCCTTATTTTGCCATTCCTACTAGGGTATTATAGGAAATTACATTATTATAGGGTAGCATACCTTTTGATCCAGATTTTAAGCTGTGAAAACACATTTTTCAGTCTTTTTAGATATTTCGTAGCTATCACAGGGTTAATAAATTTAATAATAAATCACACCATTGTCTAATTTGCGGGTTCAGTTTATGCCTTATGCCAGGTTTTTAATTTGTGGGTTTAGTTTATGGTTTATTTTAGGTAGTTTTAGCCGTGTTTTGCAACTTTTGTGAATCTACATCTTAGTTTGTTAAATCTTCTTCAAAATAATGTAGTATGTTAATAACATTTGGTAATTGTTCAACATATGTTTTGCATTATTGTTTTATATTTTATTTTTAGTTTTTCTTTAAAATAAAAATACACAACCTTTCATGAATTCAGTACAATTATTTAATAGTTAATCTAATGAAATGGTGCCGAAACCCACACAAAATATAAATGAAATTTATGACATTAAGGAAGATGACAATATCCATACAAACAAGACCCCACTACACTACTACAAACCATGCAGAAGATAAGGATAGTAATGTAAAACCATTAAAATGACTTGTGGTTTTAAGTATTTAGATAGCTTTTTGGAAGAAATGGAAGCAACAGTGGATTTGCTACTAGCCAGCTTCGGGCCTTGATAGTAAATCAAATTCAGTACTGGTAGCATCATTTATGTCTAGTTAAGGCCCAGACTTTATGGATATATAACAGTTTTTGTTTCATGGATGATGAAGATATTGAATTAGATGAAAAGAATCGATAAGTTTTTGGTAAAGTTTTTTTCTGATAAGTTTGTTGGTAAATCTATTGAAGTATTTGAGCGATTTTTATTTTTAAAAAACCACACAAGAAACCCATCAAAGTTTTGAAGATTTTTGTACAAAATTGTTTAACCAAGCTAATTCTTGTAATATTGAGCAACTGAAAATGACAGTATCTAACCACATCAAAAACATTATCTTGCAGCTATTCTTTCGTATTACTAATGTTTATCAAATTTTACGATGGTAACCAATTTTTGTGTACTTGCCTATACAGAAATCTGCTGCGTTTTTACTGATCATAATATCAGGGAAACAAACTTAAAATCAAGCAATGTTCTATCGTAATACATAGTACAGGATAGTAATAATTTAAGGACCCTTTAACAGCAACGTCTTCTTGTTGGCACGATCTCGATGTGGAAGATATTGCACGACCTCGCAGCGAACACGGAAGGGAAATTTATCACCACTCTCTAGCTCACGGTGCCAAATGAGGCAGAATCTTTATGGTGTGATTTACAAGTATAGTTGGACACTTAACACTCAATATGTTCCACGTGAATTAGCCCATAATTACACAGTAATTTGGGTCATGGTTGATTATGATTGTCAGAAATTGGCAGAAGTAAAACTTGAATTGCCTGCTCTTTTGTCAAAAAAGTTATTGTGGCCAAACACAAAAAAATGGTGACAAACTAACTACCACGATTGATTGTGGTAAATTAACTACTCAAGGGCTCTTTGACGGAATATTAGGTTTTATTTATTGTTTTATTCGAAACCCATATAGTTTGTCATTGCTATTGAATATATGAATATTGAATGCATTGTGAATATTTATCTTATGGGTTAATTATACAGCAAATCAATTAACATGAGTGAAGTCTAAAAATCTAAGTATTTAATTTCACTTCAAAATGAGAAACTTCTACGTGAATTCATGATTGCAGTAGGTGTAGTATTAAAGTATAAAATAATATTGGTTTATTTAGCCGACATACAACTGTTGAGAATAAAATAATATGCATACTACTATTGTTTGTATACACAGCATTCCACTATCAATGGAATAATTTTAATATTGAAACTTAACTTCTTTTCAAAAATTAAAACATTTCCAATGATATTCATAAGGATAAATCATTATTTGTCAAAGTGATTGATAAATATCTGGAACTACTAAATACTGTTTGACGAATTTATATTGTTCCCATCAAAGCTATTCAGGATAGAAAGAAAACACATGATCAGATTATTGAGTCTTTATTTTCCATAAAGTACTATAACAAATTATATGTTAAACTAAGAGAGGACGTACAAAAAATAATGTACCTTATTGGACATAATTAAATAAAGGAGCTATTGGTGAAGGTGTTCAACACCTAAACATCGGTACACGATCTAGAGGTATGCTTAAATAAGAGTGGCCGATATCACTACTAATGTTTGTGCTTGGAATGTATTAAATAGAACATACAATTTTCTATAGAATCCTGTACATTCGTGTGGTTTTGTTAATGGGGACATTGTGAAAAATTTGCATTTACACGTTGGCAATAAGCTTGCATTTTTCGTAGTGAAGGCCTCCTCTAAGACAAGGCTACAGAGAGAAGTGGCAACGCCGCAGCCCCGGCCTACCGAAACAGCTGTTGCACTAGATCAGCTGGAGCTTCTCTGCAATGTTTATGTTATGATAGCTGTTACCATGGCAACAGGCCGGCCGGTGCGACGTTGCCACACACCAAAGCCTGGTATTAGAGAAGGCTATGTGTGAATCAATTTAAGACATCGGTTTACAACAACGTATACATATCATAAAATGTATCTTTGTTTTTGTTAATGAGTATCCATTTTTAATTGTTATCAAACAAATCATTTTAAATTAGAGTTTGATCTTGAAAAAGTAATTAGTTTGATAGTTTAAAGCGCAAAACTCAATTTTTATCTGCGTTAAACTTAATTTAATTTCGCATTGAAAATTTGGTGTTGTAACAAATGGTATTGCCAACACCTGAATGTACACTAGCCACTCTCTACGGGCAAATGATTCTACAGTGGTCGCTATATAAAATACTCGAAGCATATTTACTGGCCTTACAGTTTATATTTACAATTAGCATATACACAATCCTACAAGCAAAATGTCCTTCTTGAGACTACGTAGAAAAATAACACCTACGTGGTCATCCAATAATGGTGTTAGGATACTCAGACTGATATTGTTAACTAGACGAGTACTGGGATAAAAACAAGGGGAAATAATTCGTTAACGATTCTTCATGTTGGGTTAGGTTCTCTAAGAACCTTTGACATAGATTTTTATTTTAGAATTCTTTTTGAGATTAGAATTCATGCAGAATATACGAAATGAATAGTTAAACTTTATTTGCAAAAATTAAACTAACTCAGCTATAATAAACATTTTGTAAACATACATAAAATAATACTCATCAAGATAAACTACTTTATGATATAACATTTTATTTATGATTTATGTACCACCTTAGAAAATCTTAAATAACCAATATTAAGATTTCAAAGAAAAACTCGCGCACAGCCAAGCAATTAGATACAATAATTATATTAACTTTGATAGATTCTCTTAAAATTAGTCAAATATAATAATTAACCAACGATTAGCTTCCTAAAAGGTTCTCTATGGCTTTTCATAAATTTGAAAACAGCTGAAAATAAATTCGAGACCATTCTTGAAAGCGACAAAATAATGCCCAATCAAAATCGTCATAATTATCAAATATTGGTTACATCCATTTTAAACCCTCCAAACATTGTATAAAAATATTATTGGCCAACGACCTGTTAGATACTTTTAAGGTTAAAATGTGGAATTTGAAAAGGTCTTCGTGAAGTAGGCCTTGTTAGTCTGGGTGAGGAGACTACAAGTAACGACCTAAGTGAAGCCCTCTAAAGTAACATTGAACAAATGATGTCCGGAGTCTACGGAGGGTACATGTAACACAATCTACACGTTGTGCTGAGTGCTGATGTTTACTCCCGCAGTTTGTGCCACTCAGCTATTTGGCGACGCGGGGAGTTGCACACTTCGTTCCAGTGGTGAAGAGCCGACCCTGTGCTCTTGGTGCCTCCTAGCTCTAGTCTGCCGATAACCTGCATCAAGACACAGCTTTGATTATAGATACTATAGATGTAAGGCTGTTTTTATATGAAGAAGGTAAGCAGCGATTCGAGTGGGGGAATGCGAGTACTAATACGTATCCATTAATTTTAGATTAGATCTATACGACTTTAGGGCATCTGTTTAAAGAGTATGTGCCGAATGTTTCGGGTGACATCTTTCTAGATCAAGATCAGCTGGTCCTTTGTTTATAGGGGGGATTGTTAAAAGCCTAATGCTCATTGACATTTAATCCCTTTTCCATGTTAATTACTTGTTGCTAACAGTTCTACTACATAAATAGTAAGTTGGGTTGAACAATTGTGTAAAACTTTGTCCTAACGTTTAATCGTACATTTATAGTTGGATGCCCTGAAGAGCCCTCTTGAGAAACTTACATAACAGTCTAGCCATATTTTACGGCTCGTTAGGTTAGGTTATACTATATTAGGCTGGAATAGGATTCCCTTGATTCCCTCACCTCGTTCTTGGTGACGCGGTCCCAGTCCAGCAGGAGGAATTCCAAGCACACGTTGTCCAGCCCTTCGGCACCGGAGGGAATCTCGAAGACAAATGATTCGTTGAAGACCGGGTTCAAGGTTCGTTTCTTCACGTGAGTCTTCTTCTTAGCTATTCTCTGCCCGTTCACGATCAGATACATCTTGACGTAGGGATCTAGAAAGGGGATTCAGCATCGTAAATGACTGGATTGAATAATCTTCAGCTGTACAATAATTAAGGGGGGCCAAATTGTAAAGGGGATTGGAAATTCGTGTGTACTGTAGGCTGGTATTGGAAAACAATAACCTGCGGCCCTACAAAAGAGCGATACATTAAGAAATTAAAAAGTGAATTTTCAATGTACTTGATCTGGAAACAGTTTGTAAGTTTCAGGGATGTGGGATCTTAAGTGTGCCTAGGAAAGCTGGGTAATCTCTAACCCCTTAAAATTTGGATTTCTATACCTCTCAAATTGGGGTTTCGCTAAATTTGTTTAATTTAAAATTATTTTTTTCTGGGCAAAGCCAACTCTTGGTTTTCATTACTCTTTACCCTTGTACATTTCTGGGGTTATAAACATAGTCGTTTTCATAGAGTATTTAGAGTTAGTTTCTGAGCCTCGTCATCCAAGGTACCATTGGGTAAACTATGGTGGTCTTAAAGTTTACCTACGTCATAGTACTTCAAAGCCATCCAACAAAGTAATAATTCGCAAGCTGGAACCCTAATGCGTACCAGCCAGTCCAGTGACGTCCATCTTGGGTAGGTTACGAGCCTTCAACACGACTACAGTGAGGCGGTTAGCTGCCGGCTGCCAGCACAGAGACACCAGCAACTCACCACGTCCTTGCGAGCGTATCTGCAACGTGTCAGCAGCACATTAACCTTACTTGCCAACACAAACAGTAACAGCACTGGAGCCAAATATTTCTTAGATTTTCCTTGAAATCGATTATTTGGAAACTCATGATGGGTTGTGAATAGTTCAAGTAGTTATTTGTATATCATAGGTTTTCTCGTCACACTCGGCATTCCTTGAGGTGGACGCCAGAATTTATGCTAACCGCAGCACTGCTGTCGGTGTATATTTAATTATGTTTGTCTATGATCAAACAAATAGTTTGATGGTTACCTTGAGACTGCGTGGTTGAACGTCACGACAAAGGGTGAGTTGTTGGTTGTCCGCCTGTGTCATATCCACGGTGCCAAGGGAGCAGAACACTTCGCCAATGATGTCATCACGGGAGTAACGGTCGAAACTGAGCACCACGAAGTGCAAGGTGATGCTCTGAAACAAGGAAAAAACTCTCAAAAACAAAACAGTCATAGGAGATTTGCTGTAATTAAGGTGAAGAGGTTTTTGGAAAAACAAGAAGGATAAATTTGTTATCCATTCCCAGCTAATGGAGATAAGATGTGGAGTTAGGGTTAACATCGAAAAGCCGACTAGCCGAGTACTCTTTCGGGAATCAGTCAGTAGGGAAGTGGAGTAGAAAATGGAAAGGCAAGAAATAGGCCTGTAAAGCCAAGAAAAAGGGACCAAAAAAGAATTGAGAGAACAAAAAAAAACCATACAAGTATTGTCATATTTCGAGGAAGATACAAAGTAAAATACCCAAGCGTTGAAAATTACTCAAAAATCAACTTTGTTTGGAGATGTATGGGGGACAACAAATCTTACACAGATTGCAAAACAAGTAATGATAGTTGAGGAGGAAGATGGGTAAAGTGGTAATTTCAATTATTTAGGCAGGGCAAAAGTGGTTGAACGTTTACAATTGATTCGTGAAAATGTGTTTAAAATATGCTAGTTGTCATATTGCATCACCAACCCAAGTGAATGAAAATAAAATCAATTCTAAGCTCATATCTGTGATGTTTTTTTCGGAATGTATAATGTAATAGTATATTTCATCACTAGGGCCTAAAGTGACTCTTTTTGACCCGAGGGTGAAAAATATTTTTCGTCATATTGCATTATTAATGAACAAAAACAAAGGTAGAAAAAACAAAACGACTTCCAGCTTGTTTTCAATTCTGATAATGCAAATAAGCAGATGTTTAGTAAGTGATTCAATTACTTCATCTAATGCAATTGTGTTATCATACCATCGATATGTCGATTAATCGACAACAATAAGCTAAACGCTTACCTAATAAATCAATCGATAAATAATTTCGATCGTTGCAATTGTTACAATCAAAATTTACAACTGTTTACAACAGCTGATTTTTACTCCCTAGAGAGTAAAAATGCTACTTTAGACCCGTAACGCATGCATTAAAAACGGCTGTTTTAGCTGCTGTATGATGAAAAAATTAATAATGTAAGTAAATTTAAAACAAGAACAACCATTGTTCATGATTTAAACATAAAACGTACAATTAACAAATAATTAATGTTGAGCTGTGAACTATTTCTCTCTTCCCGCAGCATAAAACCTAATGAATGTCAAAAGAAATGTAAACACTCAGAGGGTGTCTTTCATCAGGATTATTCATTTACAAGCCCGAGCTTTAGATTAGGTAAGGATCTCTTTTATTTTGCATCCCTCCAGGTATAATTGCGTCTGTCAGTTTGTTGAACAATGGAATGAAACTCTGCAATCAACGACACCCTCTGTCGTGTCAACGCTTTTTGTTTCATTGTATTAAATAATAATAATTGTTTCTCTCTTGTACATTCATTTATTCATCAAACGGTATGGTTTTCTTTATTAAATCCATCGCACTAAATATCCCTTTTTACCTAACATTTTAAACTATAGGTATTAGTATTATTTTCTTGTCAACTCCTTCACTACTCAAATTACCGGTACCTAAACTAATGTACCATTAATATATTTTTATTGTGCTCGATGATTATTTATACAAAATATCAGAGATATACTGAAGTAACTTTGACCAAACTAAATCCCAAGATTCTTAAAATTGAAAACAAAGTTGTTTCTATTAAAATCAAAGAATATAGTCAACATTGTTAACTTGCATGCACGATACATTGTCTAAAGTGTAATCTGAAAAAGTTCTGTTAATTTAGATATTTTGTTTATTAGAATGTCTATATAGAAATCAAATTTTCAGTTGATCATAAGGCTAAAATATTATTCAATAATTGTACCAAAAATTGTCATAAGGAGACAAAGAAACTGTATGACGAGGTGATGGGCATCTACTATTACAAAGTAGTAATAATTATTGCGGTCCAGGCACTAAAATTACATTAGTCAATTTCCTCAAAACATGTCCTACCTGAAGCTGGTTAGGATTGATGCCATAGAAGGTGAAGTCCTCGTCATACACAGGGTTCCTGGTCTTCCGCAGCACTCGGGTCTTGACCTTGTGTTGCTTGTCTGGTAAGAGTTGCAGCTTCACGTAGGGATCACTGGAGCCAGCGTTGGGGTCCTTGGCCGGTAAGTCGCGGCATTTCACCACAGACACAATCAGGATGTTCTTCTCTTGTTTGTACCTAGAAAGCAACTTTGATAAGAAGTTGACCATGAGTTTCTTGCTGGGCAACAGTAGTGGATTAACGTAGGAATCATAAGAGCATTGGGGGGTTTACGGAATTTCACCACAGAAACAAACAGGATGTTCTTCTCTTGTTTGTACCTAGAAAGTGACTTTGATTAAATAAGAAGTTGACCATGAGTTTCTTGCCAGTAGTAGATTCACGTAGGAATCATAAGAGCATTGGGGGTTCGCGACATTTCACCATAGACACAATCAGGATGTTCTTCTCTTGTTTGTACCTAGAAAGCAACTTTGGTTAATTAAGAAGTTGGCCATGAGTTTCTTGCCGAGCAACAGTAGTGGATACACGTTGGAATCATAAGTGCCAGCATTGGGGCTTTGCGGCATGTCATCACAGACACAATCATGATGTTCTTTTCTCATTTCTACTTAGAAAGCAGCTTTGGTTCATTTGGCGTAGGGTTTGGGTAACACAGTGTAAACCTTCCTTGTTGTGTCCAATGCAACCAACCTTTTGTTTATCAACACTTCGCAGAGCCAGAGAAAGCATAAATATGTCAAACGAAATGGTCTCATTACTTACCTATTTCAATCATTTTACAAACTCTTGTATATTTTAGGCTTCTTTTATTATGTTCAGCAATGATTATAACTGATTGTAATTGTTCTGCAATCACTTACCTGAGCTTAAAAACCAGTTGGCCGAGCTTATTGGCTCCTCCGCCTGAAGTGGGAGAAGTCTTCTCGTTCGATTCTAGTTCTTCTTTAGAGGGAGATGTACACATCCCGTCTTTGGTCTCCTTTTCCGTAAATACTCTAAAAAGTAACACAAATATAGTAATAAGCATAGTGGGGTTATAATACCTTTCTTGGAAAACATTTAAAACATGGAAACATTATGTAACTTCCTTACTAAAATAATTGATGAAAGGAGTGCTAAAAATCTATATTTTTCTATTTTCACCTTTGTTTTAGCATTCAACATAAAAATGTGCTCATGTGTCGGTAATGTGATCTTTGTAACTAATAAACTTTTTAAACACTCAGGCATGTAAAACCTGACATGGCAAATCAAGAAGCTGGAAATGACGATTTTAAAACAATAATGGCTTTGCTTTGCATTTAGTGTGATTTTACTATTGTTAAAATTACAAGAAAACTAACATTATTTTTCAAATAAGCTAGGTGCTTCTCCTCTAAATGGTGATGTTCCAGATTTTGTTCGTACGCCACTAATATTAATTTCTCACTATTTAGCTATATTTTTACTTTTTTTTAAGTATTTTTATTATTTCATATTTGTGGTTTTGTTATTTGTTCACGTGTATCTCAGATATTTCAAAATTGCTTCAATTCATCGTATTACTCAACCATGTACTTTGTGTTTTTTATAAATATTTTGCACACAATAACTATTCAGTATTCATATGTTTAATACAAATAACTAAAGAAGCGACTTTTTAATCAAACAAAAGAAGAAACAGCCTTAAAGTTAGAGGAGAACAAGAATACACAAGTGGCAGTAAGTTTAAAAGAACGTTCCTCCAAAGTTTTACTGGGCTACTTTGCGTAGTTTTCGCGAATGTAATCTTTTACACGGCGTAATCCCCCAGCGGAGGAAAGTTCCCCTTATCCCTCTTATCGTGAGATAAGGAGCTCAGCCGCGAGATTTGCCTCCATCCATCTCCTGAGCTTCCGGTGGAAAATCCACTTTTCTCCCCCCTGAAGTCTTCTGCCTCACGGGAATTTGCTGTTTTACCGATTGATTTTGTTCCGTATGAAACAATTTCGACAGTTTTTAGTGAGTTGTATGTGTTAAAAATTTTTTAAGTCGATGTATTATAAGATTATGCAAAATAAAAAGGTAGTGGTTTCTGCTATGTTTGAGACCAAATTTACTTTACATTTGTTGTAGGTTGTTTTATAACGTTGTGTAGTTTTTTTTGTAAAATAGATCAAAACAATTGTGCTGGTTTGATTAGCCTTAAAGGACATATGAATATTAGTTTTGGATCGCAAAAAGTATTAAATTCTGCATTGTATATTTTAAAAATGATCGTAAAATTTTATTTGGAAAGAATAGGGAGGACATTGTTTTAACATACAGTTTTTTTTATTTAAATTTAGTTTTTATTTAAATAGTTAAGCTTACACATTATAACATAATACTTAAACCTAGTATTTAATTTCTTAGTTTTGTTAACGAAACCAAAACCTACTGGGAACTATGACTCCTTAAAATTTACACTACTTCTACCCAATATAAAATGTGCCATTGCATCACAAAAAGTTGTGAAATCGTACATAACAATTATATTTTGGCGAAATTCGTCTATAATAGTTTAAAGACAATGAATTCTTTTTTTAAGATACTCCAATTATACCACTGATAAAAGCAGAGGACATGTATAATCCTGTTTAGGTGAGTCGGTAGCGTCACGGACATCGGGCCCAAGACAGTGATGTCGAGGGTTCGGATCCTGGTCACTGCCGTAAACATTTTATCAGTACAGTTCACCTTCGTACTGTACGGCTCACCCCTTGCTTTGCTGGATACGTTCCACGCATGGGCAGTTAGTCTATGTAGTCGGGTAAGGTTAAAAGAGGCCGCCAACCTTTTTTTTAATTAATCTGTTGGCCTATATTATCTTCATACCACGGATAGTCCTATCGAAACTGACTCTAAATACTTATTCATATACGTGCACGGAGTGTGTAACTTTTTTCGTGAAACAACTAAGTGATCATGGTATATATAAGCTTATCTATATATGGCCCATCAGTTATATCAACTGATGGCATCATTTGTGGTCTAGATTACTCATTTCCAAACTACTCACCTTGCAGGTACCAGGTCGGTGTCGGCGGCGGACTCTGTAGGGCTGGCTCCTGGAGGACTTCTCACTTGTCCCGTAGGACTAGTGGCTGCGGAACCTCCCGCCTTAAACAAAGAACAGTGAAGTCAAAAAAGCTACAAGGTGGGTACAGATTGTATTGTACAATTGTCTTTTGGACTCTGAAGTTTATATGTCATGTACATGGACCGGCAGTATCGGATTGTCTATTTAAAAGTTAACATGAGTGTGCTGCTGTCAAAACTATCTTTTCTTAATTTTTTTCTATAATATTTGAGGTGACATAAACGATACTAAAGACTAATATGAGTTGTCCTAAAAAATTATCTTTTGGCGTCAGTTGGCGTATTCTACACAAACCAGTAATATTTACACAAGCGCATTCTGCCAATGGCTAACGAAATTACATTACTATTAATTTTAAAACTAGTTACAACTTTTGTATCGAAAAATAATATTTCGATGGTTCTTTTCTTGCTCAGTTATAACACCACTTCAAAATTCCAAACGGACAAAATAGTAATATAGATTACTAGTGTACCTGTTGCTTGAATTCGAGCAATTGCTAAGTATTGCAGGCGTTATTTTAAAACGAACAACAGTCATAATTTCTAATGACTTCAAGATTCGACTCAAAGACTATGGAAATACTCAAGATGTACATAACAGATCGATATAATCAACATTTCTTGTAAATATCTTATCATTTTTCAAAAGCTGATCTTGTTTTTTAGTGTTTTCTACAAATAGCCTTACTCATAGCCGCGTTATGTTGTCCATAATAACGATTATAAATATAAAAAAAACGTTATTTCTATTTCTTCTCCTTGGTGGTGAACACAAGTTCAAGTAGTAAATATTTCATTTTAACCAAGTGAGTAAATGTTTGTAGCAAATTGTTAAATTAGCAAACTTATTGACTGTTAACAATTAACATATGTTCATCTTCTCACTTTTAATTTCTGACAACAGCTGGAGTTTCATAACAACGTTTGTTTCCCATGTTAATCTTATGGAGAAATACGAAACTTTAAAGGGCCCCAAGGCCTTTAAATTGTCACAAAAACCTGCTTGCGTATTAAATAAGTATAGATTCTAAAATGTTAACAGGATACATTATTTCATGCGTTCGATCTACTAAACATAAGCGAAAAGAAAAGTAAACTAAAATAATATCTTCCTTCCTGAACCTATGTAGGAGATGTCTTAAACATCCGATTGAAAATATTTGTATTTTACAAAGTAAGAATATAATGTATATAACGTATATAATGTTAAAACTATGACGAATGTTTTCCACGATTTTGTTTGCTAAATGTAAGCGACTAAATTAGAAACGGCCACGACTCTCAAAAACTCAGCTGATGTCAGAGAGATCGCACTCATCCAAAGATTGTAACCTCTCAAAGCCACTTTGGACTGTAAACTCATTAATGTAAATTTAACTTTGACGCCCAGTAAACGGTGAAAAAGTCTGTTTTTAAACTTTAAACATTTCGTCTAGTTTGAAATTTTTGTAAATGTTTCTCACTTTATTATAAGCTTAAAGAGGTCGTAAGAGTTTATTACAGTAGTGTAGACTATATATACGGGGTGATTAAAAAGTCAAGACCCCCCCCCCTCTAATATTTTTCCAAGTAAATATACAGCGATACCCTTTTGGTGGTCGTGCAATCTTAGCAGGAAGTTTCATTTTATGATTTTGAAATGTTGAGTGTCCCCCCTTTTGGGGGGATTTGGTGGGCCACCCAAATATTTTAAATTTAAACCCCCTACAAGTCACCTCATTTTAAAGTGTTTACAAAAACTTACAGAATGGTGAAAACTAGATGTATCTATCTGGTAATATTGGCTACCATTTTAGGAGATAGCGAACTTTGGTTTTCACCATTCTTTATAAGTTTTTGTAAACACTTCAAAACGAAGTGTCACTAAATTGGGGTTTAAATTTAAAATTTTTGAGTGTCCGCCCAAAAGGGCGGATTTGGGGGGCAACTAAAAATGTTTCAATGTAAACCCCCATCAAGTGACACCTCATTTTGAAGTGTATACAAAAACTTAAAGAATGGTGAAAACCAGAGTTCGCTATCTCTTCTCTATGCAAAATGGTAGCCAATATTACCATTACAAACCAATATTACCATTGAGTTTCCACAACATTTGACGGGCTACCATTTTGGATAGACTTTTATACATTACATTTTTGAATAGTAATAGTTCAATAATTATTGATTTAAACAGCACCCTCATAGTTATTTAGTTTATGGAGTTCTCTCTCAAAATTATAGAAATTGAACAGAGAAATATATACTCAAAGTATATTTTTAAACTGTCTCTAATTCAGAATTCAGTTTAATTATTTAAAATTCGTAGATCTATTATTTTTACTGTTGGGAAGCATAAGCCAAACAAATTATTTGCAACCCTTTATTTATATATTTAGCGAGTTCAAATATATTTGACTTAAGCGTTCATATCGATCTTTTTTTGGAAAATCCAATGTTTATGTTATTTCATGGGTTTTTTTTTAATACCATTACAAATAAAAATAAAAAAAAACAAACACACCCTGGTTCAGGAGGACCCAAAATTGATATTTCTACCCAAAATTCAAACTCGAAAATTTCTATGAAAACAAAACGTTCCGTATATAATATGTCGCCTACAGGGGGGAAACCGTTTATAGAATTTTCTTTCATCTAGCTTTCTGATCCAAGCAGCTATCACTCATCGTTCGTCATGTGACTAATAATCCGAGATTGAACCCCTGACTCATGACTGATCCAGGAAATACATTACCCTATTGATCCCATACCCTGCACCACCCTTTACAATTAATAGAATTATAATTGAAGTTTTGCTTGGCTACACAATTGAATCCTTGGAGTTTGATCAACATAATTGAAGATGTAAACATTGTTTCTGTAAACTAATCTCAAATAAAACTCATTTTACGTCAAACTATAAACAATTTATAAGTTAAAGTAATCAAGTAGTAATTGGATCGCCAACATTTGCCTGTGAGAAACGGTGAATCGCTCACCTTGGTTGATCAATATTGTCAAGGCCAGGAGTCGTGTTCTAACCCATCAATCTTTGGGGTGGAAAATTTGATACAATATTAATCTTTGGATACGAGTAGCTTGTTTCATATTCTAGAACCGTTACTGACATGTTTCACATTTTAGTTTAGTGATCTTGTAAACGCGTTTTAAATTTATGTAGTTTGAATCATATGGTAATTATTTTTGGTACCTTCTGTTTAGTCCTAGTGTTCTCCCTCATACATTTTAAATAAGCAAAATTTGTTGGTTCTTTTTGTGTTAGACTATCAACACTCCAGTCTAAAACCACAATGTCTGCAAAAATCCTGCTTGGAACCTAAACAAACTTCAGAATATGAAAGTAAGGACTATAACCCCTAACTACCCAGTCAATTAAATTAAGTTAGTGTAGAAATCCAAACGCTACATACGTTTCATCATGAGGGAGTCTTTGAGAATTTGAATACAAGGAACTATTTATTGGGCGACAGTCAAGTTGCCAAGACAGCCAATACCAATTTAGGAAATAAACTCTCAAACACAGCTAATATCGCCATTACAGTGGGATACAAAAGTACTATATGTCAAGTATTTTATTGATTTATTTTGCCTTTAGTCTGTCTCTAAGACATAAAAGTGTTGACATTTAAATATTTGTGCCATTAGTCCACAACATATGTTTTGGAATTTTAGAATATTAACATGTTCTTTTGTATTATTGTTTTTATATGTTGTGTGTTCATGAAGAAATATAAAAATTCTTCTACTCAATTAATTTGCTCTTCATTATGTTTAGTGTTTTTTTCTTAAAGTATTGAACAAAATCTTTCTCCCTAACTGTTCTTACTAACTCTAAATTTCAAAATTTCAAGACACTTCAAGATTTATACAAAGAAGAAAATATTTAAAGGTAAAATCTCTTCCTAAACACACGATTTTTATTTCAGCTGCAGTTTTTTAATACGGACAAAATGAGAGTTTAAAAATTAGAAATAAAAAAAATATTATAAAACTAAAAAGAAAAATTAATTTTTTAATAATAAAATTAAAATGTTATAACCGAACCTAACTAACCAAACTTGCTGAGAATGAAAAAATTGAATGAAGGTTTACTTATCAAAAAAATAGTTCTGTTCATAAAATAAATAAATGCCTCAAATTCAATTTATTTTTTTTTATTATTATAAAATTAAACTGTCATAACCTAACCAAACTAACCAAACTTGCTAATAATGCAAAAATCTTAGATAAAAAGTTTGCTACTGAGAGGTTTCAAACCCGGTACCGATATGGCTATGTGCCGTATCGTTGCGGTAATGGTGTTCCCTCAGCCAATAGAATGCTCTCATTTTGACCGTATTAAAAATACTGCAGCTGAAATAAAAATTCTGCTTCCTAAACACATATTATATGGTACTACTCAAAACTGATGCTAAATTTTATCCTTACATCTCTTATTTTTGCCTCTTTAATAATTTCTACTGTAAGTAACTATTTTTTAATATAGTTGGTTAGAGTTTTATAATTTCACTAACCAAGGCTGCACTTTACTTTAGGTCCTACACTCATTCGAATGAAAATATCGCTTATTCGATTGTTTCATTCGATATATCGTTTGGTTAGTTAGGTTAGGTTAACCTTACCTAACTAACCAAACGATATATCGAATGAAACAATCGATTAATGGATATATTGATCGATATTTTCATTCGAATGAGTGTAGGACCTAAAGTAAAGTGCAGCCCTAACTGTAACCATACCATACAACAATTTGGCTAGTTTTCAAATTGTCATCTTTTTTTAGTGTTTGAAAATTCTCATACAGTTCTATAACTTTATTTTTAAAACAAAACGTCATTTTAGTTAAATTTTTTTTAATGTAGGCTACTTATTTTTGTCCTCTGTTTAAACCCATGGTGTACAACTAGATAATGTCAAAGGTAGATTTGACTATAAAATGAATATGAATCGATAGAACGATCGATATATCTAAAACATATCGATAAACACAATTTACCCATCAGACCTCGGAGTCAATGTTGCTATCACCAGTGATATTACCAGTGAATTTTAGATGACAACATCACAGACATGCCTTCAGGGAGTCCTTTGGGAAGCAAGTTGAAACTTTAATTCACAAGTGTAATGTTAACTTGTACTGTAACTACAAGTGACACCTTCAGTTTTATCTGAGGAAAGTAAACACTTGGGACATACAATCATTAATTTACCCTTGGAGTTTGGAGTAACGGTAGAGGCTATTGGGCTGAATCTAATCTAGTATAATTAGATTTAGGCACTTAGGGTACATGTAAGCTGGGCCAGAATACTCCAGGGTAGTACAACGTGATTAAGAAATTAGCTAAGTGGAGAATGCACTTGGTTTTAGAGTGAGGTTTTAATCGGACTAGGTATAACGATAATTCGTTGGATTTAAAACTGTTCATTTATTTATTTTATTTCAACGGAATCACCATTTTACTGTTGATGGTACTAATACGTTAATTATCGCAGGTTTGTAAGTGGAACACTAAAACAAATAAAGTTTTCTTTGCTTGGAAGACATTTGAGTTTTTGGCTTCCTAAATAAATCATTATTCGAGGTATGTTCTCCGTGACGTTCCAGTCCAGTGAGCTGAAACCCTACTGGACTGAGGCTGCCAGACTCAGATCCGTCGGATGACAAAGTTAAAACCACTGGTGATTGGTGGGGGAGCAAACTGGTCTAGTGGTATAGCGTGTGGCTTCGGGACCAAGGTCTCGTGTTCGAACCCCACCAATCACTAGTAGATTGTATCTAAATTCCGCGACCCTATAAGACTAGTATGACGTAATGTGTAAGAACAGTTCCGGACTAGAACCTAGGGTGAGAAAGGTGGAACATAAAAAACACAAAAACACAAAAAAACCTTTGGTGGGTTTGACTAACTTTACCAAGTTTACTCTCAGCTTTGTTAAATATATTGATTTATGAATGATTATGATTATGATTTTAAATGCTATTCATTGATTATGATTTTAAAACGGTAGTACAATAGATTATTCAAGTTGACAATAGATTATGCAATGTCAAGCACCTGAATATGGTTATTCAGTTCACGTTTAGTAAAAAACATAGTAACGAAGAACGTAAAACTATTAGCTAAAACCAACCTATGCTTCACTATGGCTTTAAACAATAAACAACTATAAAATACACAGTAACGTTGAAGTTATGTTCATGGTACTGTAGTAATGGCAATTGAGCACTTGGCAATATTATTTGTAATGCAGTAGGAAACTTTGTAAATAATCCACGATCCTTAATTTCTAATTTGATAATCCAAGAGCATTAAATATAGGCCCTAGATTAATCTTTTCTTCTATGCTCAACTCTAGGTGTAGCTTATCTAGTTACATGCGTTACAGCACAGGACTTCTAATCTGAAACCCGAGGTTTAAGTCCCACCAATCACATATAAGCTTTTCAGGTTTGGAATGTCATGTAGCGGTTCTGAACCTTCTTTTATCTTAAGGTCACATTGAAACAAAAAAGTGATAAGCATCTCAATCAAAACATGTTCTCTATATTGGAAAACTCTCCTCAATAAAAGCTATGCGATATAATAATAACAAACTGAAATCAATATGCCGTAGTCATAGTATCTCTGTCTTTCCGTTGTTTCAATTATGAAGACTGATAAATACACAACCAAGCGTTGAGACTGACGGCGTTGAGCGTTGAGCGTGGAGAGAAACAATTGTCGTATTGAAACAGCTGATCACTGAACGTTGAGCTGAAAAGCTGTTTACAAGTGTGTCGAATGAATGACGCAAAACATTTTACATGCTCTGAATTCAAACGTATGTTAGTCACAGTTACGCATAATTTTAGCAAGCATTTGCGTAAACATTTTAAGAAAAGTAATATGAGTTAAGTTAAATGACTCAAATTCATACAAACTTTTAAACAATTACAATTAATGCAATAAACTAGTAAAAATAAGCTTAATAAGCTTAAATACTCTACAATAATTTCTGTTTAGATTATTCACGGAGGTTACTGATATATTTGACTAATGATACAAACTCTAATAGTCTACTTTTAGACAGTCCACCCCCATTATAAAATTGTTACCTTTTAAATAATAATCGTCATAGTTTATGTGAGCCACTGACATACTGTGCTAATCTAAATTACTTCTGTCTAATGAACTTTTATTACCAAGTCAAACTAATATATTGACTTGTTGTGAGCTACAGCAACTGTTATGAGCCATCAACTTGGCCAGCAACAAAAAATAAGGTAATTATTTGTGGCTGGCTCAAACAATTAAGCTATTTTATAATTAACTATTGGTGAAAGCTGGTACATTTAGATTAAATGCCTACTTCAGTATCCAATACCAATACTCTCCTTTATACAGGGTGTCCCGTAACTCTCTGGACACTTGTATATAGCGTTATTCCTTAGGTCAAGACAAACACATTTCACCATAGGAACATGGGTCTGTGGTGTCTAGTTTACTGACTGTCAGTATTTATGTGTTTTTTACAAAAAAAAAAAAAAAAAATTGCTCCTAAACGGTTTGAGATACAGCTTTGATATTTTGCAAAAATGAAAATCTTATTGAGACATACTATCGTTAGAAGTTATACTAAAAATCATTAACCGTTTCAAAATGGCGGCCATTTAAAATATTTGATGCCAAATTTCACGAAAACCGTGAACTTAACAAAAAAATTGCCAGAGACAAATAAGTTAGTAAATTTTGTTTAGTTTTCAATGATCCCTTATTTGTTAAGATTGGATAAATAATAACAGAGAAACGTGTTGTTCTCGTAATGTATGACCACTTTTCTCCATTTAAACAATGCTAAACAAAGTAAAAGGAGTATTATATACAAGTGTCCAGAGAGTTACGGGACACCCTGTATTTTGAGAAACAAACATTTTGATTTTAGACGGTTTAGTCAGATACCCAAGGAAACTTGTGTGTAAGAAGAAATGAGAAAAACTAGGGTAATTACTTACTTAGGCACACAGGAAAAGGTCACACAACCCCAACATTTCGTCCTCACGTAGGAATTCTTTAGAGAAGATTGATGTGGAAGAAAATTAGGGTTTTCACAGTGTTGTGTAACTACATGTTAGGTCCTGGATTCTAATTTTCTTGAGTATACTTTATGATCAATAATCCTTACATCTCTGGTACTACAGAATTGAACAAAATGTATATGAAATTAATTGTAATTGGACACTATTTGAGGAATAATTAACTTTAACAGCGATAAGCAAGCCATTTAATTAAAATGCAACATAATTAATTGAGTTAACTTTTCCAAGTTTGCTTCGGCCACAATACTTTCCCTTAAATGTTGATACAATGATTTTATGTGATCTGAAAGACGGGTACTATTTTTGTATTGATGTTATTTTCATTTTGCCTTTGTTAAAACAAAGTTGGGGCAACCGTAAGATATAACAGTAGTATCTCTGGGGGCTCAGTGCAGCTAGAATATTTATCGATGAGTATCTGCATTGACAAAAAGCATTCTTTATTCTATTTGTCTATGGTATCTGTGTAGTTATGCAACTCACCTAGCAAATTAAAGCGGCTCAATTATGAGAATAGTCAGTAGCTTTTTAATCAAAACTGGACCCAGCTGTTCTTGATTAATGGGCTTTTAATAAACCGTCCTTCCTAAAGAAACATCTGGTCTTAGAAACAAATACATGGATTTGAGTAAATCTCACTCTATTCTACTCTCACCCAATATTCACCTTTAAATTCGCACCGAAATGTGAGCCACCTTAAAAATAAACTATATGAACCACTCACCGCAGGAGTGCAGCTGCCCTGAGGACTGGGACTCTTCTTGAGGTAGTGGGGCCCCGACACGCCTCCCGCGGGGCTCTTGACTGCGGTGGGCTTGCGGTGGTGTTGGAAGGCCAGGGGCTTCTCAGGGCCCCGGCCCCGCTTGGCTGTCACCAGTTTGCTGTGGGGCCCCTGGACTGCTCGACGCCGATAGCACAGGCATGTAGCGGCGCTGACCATAGCTAGGAACAGCGTCCCAGCCATGCAGATGCTCACCAGCGCTGGTGTCGACACTGGAACACAAGCACACAGGTTAGTCACACTATAGTACTTGTATTGGTTGTTTTTCAACATTAGCATATGGTTAGAATATATGTTTAGCGTATGTCACTGGGTAGAGTGGTCATAACGTTCCCCAACAACTCAGGATGTAACCACTTGCAACCAAAAAACATATTTTTGGCAAATTCGACCCAGCTGTTCTTGATTATAGGGCTGTCAATAAATTTATTGTCCTAACTAAAGAACCGGTGAATCTCATCCGTACAGCGCTTATTCTTATTTTCACCCTTAAAATCCGCACCCTGTTTTTTTGGCTTTGTACAGAAACAATCTAGTTCCTAACTTGTATTATATGATAACGGTCCAAACTATATCACTGTCCCATTATTAGATGTTTGTTGACACTACGACGTGTTTGAACACAAATATGACTGAGTGGTGAATGTGTCATAAGAGATTTTCCTTATAAGCTACAGCTTTTTTACAGAATTAGATCCTAAGGCTATTTTTATTATAAGTTTACCGTTACTTTAGCTAAAATTATTGTTAATTCGGAATGACATGTGATCAGTCTTACGCACGAGCAACAAAGTCCCAAACTCCAGGAACATAATTGATGAGTGACGTTTACATTTTCGTTGGAGATAGAACTGGATGACAAGCAAAGTTACGACGCTTTGAGTTTCACTCTGTGAAGGGGGAAATTTCCTCTTAAAATACATTTTCCTGTTCACTTTCAATATTCAATACTGAAACGTCTTTTTGTACAATCGTACGAAGTTGTCACACATACGTCAGGGTACTTTTAGCTGCTCACTACGATGATTAGAAATATGTCATATTTATTGTATTCAAAAACTTAAAAGCATCACATAATACCGACCACACCGATAAATCGACTTTCAAATAAGATTTTAATTAGTTTAAATAACAAAATCTTCCTAACCTAACCTAATCATAGTCCACCCTTAGGTCAGGTTATGTTAGGTTATAATTATTAGGTGTGGTCGGTATAGTACCAAAGTAAGTACCATAGTTATTTCTGTTTGATTGCAGTGCAACTTTGACACTGAATTTAGTGAACCAGAATGTTAATAGTGAAAAAGGTCCATTTTAATTTTGTTGGCTTCAATTTTAATAAACCCCAATCAACATTGTGGTGACAGTGAAGATATTTCAAGTGAGAATCAATATTTTTATCTCTCAGGTTTGCCTTTGCGGTTGAAGCATATTGGCTATTGAAAAAAAAAAAAAAAAAAAAAAAAAAAAAAAAAAAAACTGGTGACAGCTATAACATGGAGATTTTTTCCTAGGGCGCTAGGCACGAGCCCCGGGGTTGTTTTTTCACATTATCTCAATCTAGACCTAGGGGTTACGTAATTATCACTAAAAAGAAAATACATTGGGGATTTGGCAAGATTTGAACCTGGGATCTCAGGGCCCGAAATCCCAGCGAAGACCAGCTCACTTCCAATATGGGGATAGAATGTCTAGTTGAATCAATAGTCGAAGGTTTTAACTAATTAAATTCTCCCGTGTTTGAATGTGTCCAATATAGTGTTCCTAGCCGTGTTCAGATGTAGTACGTTCCTAGAAACATTTATGTGGCACATTCAATGCTGCAGACCCTGGTCGACCTATATCCCTTAGTCACGCCACCCCTGTCTATAGCACGCAAACTAGAGTGCTACTTCCACCCCACTCACTCCACTCTGGCTCTCTATACGAACCTAATCCTAATTAAAACTATATTTTTGTCTTTAATCCTTCCTATTGGTGGGGCAGTCGAGCTAGTATTCGTCTAACAATTAAAAGGTCGAAGGTTCGATCCTGGCAAAAGTCAGTAGGGTTTCAATGGTGGGAAACTGGACTACAGCTGTTCCTGATCACTGGATTTCAATAATGATCCTGTATGATGAAAAAACTGATCTTGATCAGTAACTAGGATAATCTCACACCATTCTACACTTATCACTCATATTTGGGTTTAAATACGCACCTAAGTGGCAAACGATGATTATTATTATACTAAAACAATGGTGAATTTTAATGGCGGTTATAAGAAACTATAAACTTTCCGGTTAGTTATAAATATCCATTTCAAATTCTATGTTGCAGCTTTATTAATTAATGTCCTCAGTTTGGCTCCGATTGGCAATTATTAATGGAGTGTTTAAACATTCAAGATGGCGAATCCTTAATTAGTCATCAAGGGATTCATTTATTACAGTTAAGATTTTGTAAATGTAGAATTCTGTTTAATAACTTTGTTATGATATTTTATATATAACAATTTACAAAAATAGTGGTTAAAATCTCTCTTATTCGTCATGTAAGTTTATGAGTATGGACACATTTCAGTTTCCCTGGTAAATCATGTCATATAAAATTGAAAAGAGTAAATTTATTATTTTTAAAGTGAATGATGGTTCCTTGTATCACTAACTGCGGTATTTCACTTGTTTAAGTAGTCCTTATTATTGAAGTGAAAAATCTCTGGAACGATTTATAGGGGTTTGGATTTAATTGGTTGGTTTTGGATTAAGACACGAGTATCGATACACCCAGTCCTATGGAATTTATTGAAAAATACATGTAATTTTGTTTTCAAGTACATTAAAAACTGTGTTAAACAACTACGTTTTGAAACTTTGACATATTGTATTGACCTGTATATTATAAATATTCATTGAGTTTCTGCAGAGAAAAAAAAATAATTTTTAAATTTTTGATGGCAATCATTATTATAACATGTCATAGTTCTAAGAATGAGAGGGCTGGTGACATGGTTAAAGCTAGGGACTTCTGTCGTGGAGGGCGTGGGTTAACACCCCACCAAACACAAATGACTATTAGCCCGTTACTTTAGCCAGGATACTATGGTTCGGTCCCCACCGGTCTAAAAGTCCAGAAGAGGTAGGTGTGTTGGAAAATAATTCCTGCTCAGAAACCCTCCCCTGCTGAAAGACATATAATTATTGTAACATGCAGAACATAAAATTTGTTTTCAAAAATCACATTTTTTTTAAATTGTGTTTTAAAATTCAACTATAAACCGGAGTTGGCAAAGACCCGATACTCAAAGGACCTAAGTAATCGAAGTGAGATCAAGTTTGTTTCAAACTTTCGGGAAGAACATTTTGACAAGGTACGAAGTTAGAAAGTTTAAGTTTATCGCATCACTATAATGGATAAAAGTGACGTCATCTTGTTTCATCAATTTGTAAACTCCTCGGTTTAATAGGAGCGTGGCTTGATGTATAGCTTTATCTTGTGGTGATGTGGTAAATGTGTTAAGTTTGTTTTGTAACTGGGTAAAATTCATATTCTTTGTGCAAATATTGAATTATCATTATATTAAACTATCATTTGACATGTTGACGCCACCAAGGGGAGTATTTTAACATGAGTGTCGAAGGGAGTGAGATGATCTGTGTAGCTTTGTTACTGACTAAGATCAGCTGTTTTCTATTTTAAGCCCAATGATCAGAACAGCTGGATCCAGTTTCGAACCATCGGAAAGCTACTTACTTTCTCAGCTGATGACCGTTCTTTGACAGTTATATAATTTATATTATAAGTTTAAATCAAATTATTAACGGAGCTTTTTGGAATACAAGTTGTATAAGCAAGGAGTAAGTTTTCATTCAAACTAAATACTTTAAACATCTATACATTTTTTATTGCATGGTGTTTTAACTTGAGCTCTTGATGTGTAGAAAGAGGCAATTTGAGAAAAACTAACTGCCTATATATTATTAGTCTGTTTATTCAAAATTTGGGTTAGTAAAACAAAAACTTATATGTTAACATTCACCCATTGTACTTTACAACAGATTTACTGTGGTGTAGGTTGTCGTTGGTTTCCACAGATGATTTGCGTCAAATATAAAGGGTTAAAATGCGTCACAAAAAGTAGAAGTCTATGAGTATAGTATGTCCAAATGTATTTTTGTATTAAATTAAACTATTACATTTAAATCCATAAAAATGCACTGACGAAAATATATGAATATATATTTAAGTTTTTTGTGTAGACGTATTCACATGTTTTACATGTATTGCACTGATGTAATTAATTATTTGCAGGCAAAACAACCTTTAAATAAACTATGTAAATGTGCTTATATTGACAAATTTTATTTAAAAGTGTTATGCATATGAATAATATTTATAAACTAACTAGCTGTTTAGTTAATAGTCTTTACAACGGGAAGAGGACGTAAAATAAAAATGAAATATAAATTTAGACAGTTCCTTAAATCAATGTTAAATCATGTTTAATTTCGGGCCAGTAACACAATTTGTTTATGCTGATGATCCATATCGTGTCTATTCTAGCATTCGTGGAAGGATGTAAAGTTTAATTTTGGTGTCGTATCTATTCCTAAACTTACTTGTTGACCCCATATTCAGTTGACCAAATCTCAAATGTCACGAACTCATTGCCAAATTATGTTGATAATAACTTTTCATCACACTATATGTTACACAACTTTTCACCACACTACACTGTCCAGTTGCAAACAACGATGAACCAAAATACCACAAGTACCTCGACAACACACAAGAAGAAGAACCATGGAAATAACAGTTCAAACATAAAACTAAAGGTGGGCTACATGGCAACTGATGCTGCTTTTCTGCAACTGTTTACACGACATAATGTTAACAGACGTCAGTGACAGAGAGGGGGAATGTGCTCTTATCACTCGCGAACTGTCAAGGTCGTATTCTTATCACTTCGGCCTTCCATACAGTTCCTGGGTAATCGTTGTGAATAACAGTTCAACATGATCATTCATTCATCGATTGAGGCCAAAGATTTCCACAAGCTATGATCGTTTAAACAACAGCTGTTATCTTCAATTCAACATAATGTTAATTTCTATGCAGATAACGTAGCTGATGCAAAATGGGAAATCTTTCGGAGGAATTGTTATAGGTTATATAGAATGGGCTTATCTATTGTGATATTTGTTTGATATTGTTAAACTATGGATGAAATAAT